CTGGTGCCAGGCATGCACAGGAAATGGGGAGCTGGTAAGCCACCCCCCGGCCTCTTGGGATGGACTATTACTGAAGGGAGGTGGGACACAGGAGCAGGATCAAAGGCGCAATCCTGGGGGAGGGCAGGAGCTGGGCACAGCACAGGGGGTGGGGGGGTCAAGCCACTCACCTTTTTGCACAGGCCATGGAACAGAAGCGCTTGGAACGCTTGAACTTGTAGGCAAAGTCCACCCGGCCACAGAGCTCACACTTGAGTTTGAGGGGAGTACCCTCCTCTTTGGATTCTGAAATGTATGAAAATTGGTAAGTATGGAGAACGAGCAATTGTCAACAGCCCCATCACAGGGCCGCCCTACTGTCTGCCTGCTCATGTTCTCACAGCTGTGACACTCACAGCTGCCTAGCTTGGGAAATGCTGAGCCTTCTCTGTCAGTTTTTGGAAGAGCCGTTTCCCTCCCTGGCAAGTACTCAAAGGGATCTGAGAACGCTCCTGTGACACTGACCATGCTCTTGTCTAAGTGCTATGAGCCTGAGGCGCCCACAGGTGAAGATGTAGCAGCACCCCTCCTGATCCTGGGAGAGAGGAGCTGAAAGGGAGCACTCTGGGTGCTGCCACAACTGATCTGAGCTGGGTGGAAGCTCATGAAGGAACAACTGTCCTTCCTCACCCACCTCAATCTGTCTAGTTGGCTGCTAACCTGGGTAACAGAATCCAGTTCTGTAACCTACACAGGCCCCTCCTTCCATTTATCAGTGGCTCAAGTGACGAGTCCAGTCCCTGTCTGGCCGCCACTGAGCCTCAGAGCTGGGCCGTGCTGAGCGCAGGCTCCCGAGGCGGAGGAGGAAGGGCATGGGTGGCCTGCGCTCCTCAAGCCCGACCCCTCTCCAGTGACTCACACGGGAGAAGAGCCTTAGAGTCCTGTGGTTGGCTGGAGGGCAGGCAGGGCAGAAACAGTTCCCCGAGGGCGGGGACTTCTGTCCCTGCTTCTTAGGAGCTGGGAAGGCACTAGAGGAAATGATCAGTAAGCCGACATGTTCACACGCGCCCTGGCTCCGAGTTCCTCCGTGGATACCAAGAAAGGAAGTGGGGAAGGCCTGCTTTTCCAGACTTGCCTACTTCCTATGTGGCTACACACGCCCTCAGCGTTCCAGGTGTGAGACGCTTACCTTGCAGATAGGGCTCCTCCATCTCGGAGTCAGTGGTGGTGGTGTGGTCCTGCTGTGGAAGTTTCTCAGGCAAAAACCCCTGTGCATACTTCTTTTTGAGATTCCCCACCAGCAGGGACGAGCGTCCCACCTAGAGGACATGGTGACACGGAAGCCATGAGGGTTAGCTGGGAAATGCTTCCTTATCCAGCCTCACCAAAATTACACGTATAAAGCATCCAGGCATAGATGCCAGCCCCTACATCATCATCCAAGTAAGCCCTGTAAAAGGCCTATTTCGCTGTTAGCTCATGAGGCAGGCTGCTACTGGAGACTGAAGGGATGGCTTCAATCCAGCACCAATGGATGCCTCGGGAGGTTAGGAAAATATCTACCCTTCCCAGTGTCTACAGGGCAGAGATGAGGCAGAGACTGGAGTTTCCCACACTGCCAGCAGTGTTCACATGCCACCAGGCAGGAACACAGCCAAGGCTGTGTGTGTGTGTGTGTGTGTCTCAACAACCATTTTAAAATTTCTTATTGTTCTTTATCTTACCACTGTCTACCCAAGGCAGACGTACACACAGCCATGGAAGGCAGTAGGAAAAAAATGGACTCTGGGCTAAGAGCAAAAATGCCCTCTATGGTTACAAGGATCCCAGATTGGCTAATTCATTCTTCTGGTCCTCCCTTAGCTGCCTTTGTTCAGGCAGCCCCGTGGCCAGATCGCTAGAGCAATACTGGGGTGTTATTGAATCTGCATCACCCTGAGAGAGCGGCTGGTTTCTGGTGTTGCTCCAGGAGGCCCAGGGGAAGACCTAGTCTAATGAGGGAAGGGATGTCATAGGCCTAGAGCTACTCATAACTAAGGTGCGCCATGTGAATTTCTTTGCCACAGGCCTTGAACGACCTCCAGAGGAAAAGAGGACAAGAACCTATGCGTCCTTCGGCATTTCAGAAGGGCAGGCCATCCTTCCCAGTTAATCAAGCATAGTCTTTTGCTGACTATTCAAATCACTTATGGATCCAGAGAACGAGCAGGAGGCAGATGGCACCCCGTGAGGATTGTATGTCTCTAACAGATACTTTTATCACAGGAGGGGCTATGTGCACTGGCTCTAGGCTCCTCCCACCCACACAGCAGTACCACCTGTCCTCACCAGTCTGCACTGAGCAGAATTAGCTTTGGCTGCTTTGTTCTAAGAAGCCATTTTCTTGATTCTTTTATATTTCCCTTTGGTCTTATGCTTTAACTAGAGGCCCGGTGCACAAAATTCGTGCACTTGGGGGGTCCCTCAGCCTGGCCTGTGCCCTCTTGGCAGGCAGACATCCTTAGTGCTGTTGCAGAGGCAGGAGAGGCTCCCACCACTGCCACTGCACTCAGCAGCTGTGAGCCCAGCTTCTGGCTGAGGGGCACTCCACCTGTGGGAGCACACTGACCACCAGGGGGCAGCTCCTGCGTTGAGCATCTTCCCCCTGGTGGTCAGTGCTTGTCATAGCAACCATTCCACAGTTCTGTTGATTTGCATATTAGCCTTTTATTATATAGGAGGATTGGAGACACTTGACTGTGCCCTTTCTGAAGTGCCCTCACTTTCATTCACTCCCCTTTAGAGGCTCTGTCCCCAGCTACAACCCTATTCTCTTCATTTCAAATGCATCTGAAGAATTCTCTTCTGTACAGGTTCCTTTTGTTCTCTGACTGGCCAGTTTTGCCATGCAGAGGTTTTAGTATTCAAAACTGAATGGGGTTTCATTTCCCAAAGTCCACCAAACATGCCAAGGAGAACTCCCTTTAACCAAGGGGGTCACATATCACCAGGGGGGACACAGCGGAGTCTTATGTTGGGAACTTCTAAACAAGGCGTCTTGCCAATTATTCCTAATCTCTGACCCCCTGTGGACCTCAGGACACTGCTCAATCCTAGAAAGAAAATAGTTCTGACATTCCTTTGGGGAAAATTAGCAGGGAAAGAACAACTATTTCACATTTTTGGAAATTTTACATGGAAACATAAAATATTCTAATACACATCCAAATTATACTTAAAAAAAAAGAAAAGAAAGAAAAAAGAGGGGAAAAGAAGTAGTCCGTACCGGGAAAGGCTCCGCCCCCTCCTGGATCACAAACCCTTCGATAACATGCGTCAGGATTTGGGGTTTCACAATGGCCTGTGGTGGTTTATTCTCACCATTCTGGGGGGCAGTGCCGGCGATGCTGGAGGCAGAATTTCCGTTCCCTGAGGTCATGCCGGGGCTGCTGAGGTCGGTCAGTGCATGAACAATGCCCTGCCCTGTCTCTGTGCAGGGAAAGTAGGGAAACACAAGCAGGCGAGGTCAGAACCTGGTCCAGGCCAGAAGGAGCACAGGGGTTCAACACGAGCCTGGTACCTTCGGTGGAGCCAAGCGACAATGCAAACCAAGCAGTCCCCCCCTCAACCACCTATCTGATGTGGGGTCAAGGGACACGCCACCAGGTGTGACTCCAATCCGCTGTGCAGCAATGCAACTAATCAGCTGGCAGTGTTTTGTAGACTTCCAACTGTGTTAACAATTCAACTGGGTGAACAGACAAGAATCTTGCCTTTGAGGTGTTAAGAACTTGGTCAATATTGATATGGACAAATAAAGTAACATTCAGTTTAAGGGAGAAAATATATTCAAATTGTTATCAGAAACCAGACTGAGAAACTGAACTAGACAGAGGGCTGGGGTATAATAGGGCTTGGGGGAAAGATTTCAAGTGAACCTTCTATGAGGTTCCTTGGAAAAGGGTTAGATTGAAAGTGTCCTGTGAAACGTCAGCGTACTGAATTCCAGAAATCAATGCAAGGGAATTTGGGGAGCTGAACCCCAAGTAAACACGGTAACATAGATCTGACTGTCCAGAGCCTGGGACTCAGGTCACTGCATTCAGATACACTGCTCCATTCTCCACCCAGGCGGCTGCGAGGCCGAGCGGAGGCTTCCGTGCTGCTTCTGCTGGTCCTGGGCTCGGTCAAGCCTCTTGCCCACTGTCAGCTCCATATCCGCTCTGATGCTCAGCCAACCAGACTCCTTCCCTCAGTCCCTCTGTGGACAGCTTTTCCTGAGGTATCCTCTCCTGGACCCTCTGGCCTTGCTCTGAAAGACCTAACAGAGTGCTCCAAAAGTGTGACGGGTATCCACACAGAACCACACCGCAATGGCCGCCTCTTCTCCACTTCCAACAGCACCTCTCAGGAGTCGTTTAGAGGTGCAAGACTTCGTCACCTCACTTGTGAAACTCTACCCCCCTTCTCAGAGTCATTCTCTACCACCACCAGCTGCCCAGGAGGCCTGAGGTTGCCTTTAACCTGGAACTTCCTAAGAAAGGGGGGGAAAGGAAAGAAAAAGCTTTTTTTTTTTTTTTTTTTTTTTTTTTTTTTTTTTTTTACTGCAACAGCCTATTAAGTATAAACCAGTGTGTATTTGTGTGTTACTTTAAAAACGATGTCAATAAATTTATTAGCTAAGCCATGTCTGCACAAAACTTTCCATGAAGATGCTCTTATTTCATGTTAAAGATCTCAAATCTGCCCTAACTGGTTTGGCTCAGTGGGTAGAGCATCGGCCTGTGGACTCAAGGGTCCCAGGTTGGATTCCGGTCAACGGCATGTACCTTGGTTGCAGGCACATACCCAGTAGGGAGTGTGCAGGAGGCAGCTGATCGATGTTTCTCGCTCATTGATGTTTCTAACTCTCTATCCCTCTCACTTCCTCTCTGTAGAAAATCAATAAAATATATTTTTAAAAAAAGATCTCAAATCCTACGATGGAACAGGGTCTAATTATGCAGCACAGAGAAATCAAAATAAACTCGTTTTAGAAAAGCTTTATAACTGGCTAATTTCTTACTAGTAGCCCCAATGCTCAAATAAGCCAGGATAAATCTTTTTTGATGAAAAAGAGTTGGTGGCTACGACACATGCTCCAGTACTCAGACCTGCCTAATTCAACTCTAATAAACTTCACTGCTGAGCAGGAGTCATCCAAGAGGTGTAATTGATGGCCTTTGAAAAAATTCTTCTTGGTTGTGAGAATTATTTATAGCTTTGGCTCTTTGGGTAAAGATAGGAACTTTCCCCTCTTTTGAAATCTTTCTAACGTGAAAGGCATTTGGGAACTGAAAAAAAAAAACACACTTTCTTTCACAAACTATGAATAACTAGGTGGACTGAGTTAATTACATAATCAAGTTACTTTTCTCTACGTTTAAATTTTAAATATTTAAGTCTGCATTGACATAACTACATTTCCTCTGCTTTAAAAATGTTTTCAAAATTCAAATTGAGTATATATTTTATTTAAAATGATGAATAGATAATTAGAAAGCTTACTGTGTAAGTTAAAATTTTATTTTTAGATGATGGCTATTTTTTCCTTATTAGAGCCTCATAAAAGATTCTCTGGTTACTCTAATGAACCATAGATTACAGAATCAAGATGAGAAATTCTGGGCATCCTCTCACCACTGCTTACACCTGCTCTGTCATACCCCCACCCAGAGATTTCCTGGCATTTGTTTAAATATCTTTTGTGACAAAGGAGCTCACTATCTCTGAAGTAGTTTGTTCCCACCTTGGGCAGTTCAATGAAAAGTTCTTCCTTATAATAAACCCCAAATCTATCTGCTGTTAATTTCTGCCCACTTATCCTGGCTGTGCTCCTTAAGACCACACAGAACAAGGCTAATCCTGTTTGTGTAATGGGCAGAAACACGGGCTGGGACCTGTCTTAGAGGCTGGACTCTCTATCACTGAAGTGTCAATGGCAAGTCCTCATTGTTCCTTGAGCCTCAGTTTCACTGGCGTAAAATAAGGACAATAACAATACTTACCTCACTGTGTCACTGTGAGGACTAAATGAGATAATGGATCAACAGCAGTGTAGTGCTAGCACACTAGGAAATGCTCAGGTGGCATGAAGAATGCCACTCATGACCCCAGAATACTTCTCTCCTCCAGGCCCAACTCCCTCTGCTCTTCCAACTGTTTCTTGTATATAAAAAGGATTCAAGTTCATCATCATCCTAGGTCTTCTTGGCCTGCATCTTTTAAAGTCTACCCGTTACTGAAAACATATCAATGCACTGGTCTAAGAGATCAGGTTGACAAGATTTTTGTTATATTAAGAGAACAGGTGGAGGGAAATTAGTGACTTCCGTGTTTTAGTTTATAATTCCTTTAGTTTATGAATCCGTTCTTCCCTGAATGCTGGGATCACTCCTACCCACTGCTCTTTTCAATGCTACTCACCACCAAACAGCCTCTGATCCTTGTCTCCTTTCATGGGATCTATCTTTGCTGGACTCCTCCCCTTTCACCTCATCCCTTCCCTCCTGCCTCTCAGATCTGTGCCTATTAATATACACTGTAAGGCGGAACAACTCTTTTGAGGTCAGATTCTTCCCTCATGCCAAATACAGTGGTGAGAGATACCTTCACCAGCTCAGAGGCGAGAGAGCCAACAAACGGAGAAACCCTTTCACCATAACATTAGAAACTATCATTCCCGTTATCACTGGTGGTGGGGGGGGGGTTACAGGAGAGACAGAATCCCAGGGACAGAAGAGCATGTTTTATGAAGGCACAGGTTTGCAGACACTGCTTCGCTTCACATTCATCTCGTAGCAAAGACCTCCTCATCTGCTTTAGTGACAAAGGAGTTTGGGCTATTTGTGGAATGACAAAACACAATCTCACCCCCGCCAGGCTCAGCACACTGCGATTAATTTAATCTGCTTCCCCGCTCTCCCAGACTGCTCTGCGGCCTGCTTGGGGAAAAGCAGCTTAATAGGGAAACTTGCAGAAACCTGCCCTGCTGGCCCGGAGGCCAGATAAAAGACCCAGACAAAGCAATACTCTACCGTTTGGAATTTGTCCTTTCTCAATTCTCTGGATCAGTCCTAGGCTGCAAGGGATGCCTGGGATTCCCAGGGGTCTCAAATACCTTTGTACAGAGTTAGGCACCTGAAATCTGAAAGGGGAAGGCCAGGACACCATGAGTCTAGGAGGCTGTGGGAGTAAAGCCAGCTTCTGTGGTGCTGGGGCTGGGGGAAGGTAGAATCTAGCCCTTAATTGAAGCTGACCGTAAGGGCCAAGTATTCAGACCAGAATGAACAGAACAGTATGTCTGGGGCAGTCGTTACATAATGTCTCAACCTTTCGGGTGGCTCTCAATTCTGGTCTCACTCAGGCTCTGGCAGAAATAGCCCTAATAGGGGCGGGATAATGTGGGAAGGACCACAATGGCCTTGTCTGTGAAATGATCTGCTTCGGGGTTGGTCCCCTTCACTAGGCAGAGCACGTTTCTTTAGGGAGGGGCTCTATCTTAGTCACCTCTGTATCTCCAGGGGCTAATGCAATGTCCACTATATGACAGACCCTTAATGTCTGTTAAACTGGAATATATGAAACCATGGTTTCAACAGGTCTCCTTAGTCTCAAAATAAGCAACTTGCCAGCAACTGAGATTTGTAAAATTACTTCCGAGGCTATAATGGTTTGAGAGCAGCTAGGCTGGTGCCTGTCTATAAGAGTGGCATTTCTGGGTACCTGGCTATAAAGAAGCCTAAGAGCTATTCCTTGGCCCACTTCTTCCTGTTAAGGCAGGGAAACATTTACGCCAGCTCCAGGGACTTGGAAAGGCACAATGACCTCTAGGGGCAGAAACCAGGAGTTGCCTGTGGAAATGGGCAGGCCCGAAGGACCACTGGTAGATGTCCAGAGAGGCTGAGCTCTCCTGCCCTCTGCAGAGAGAGGTCATGCTGGCCCCAGCTATGCAAAACTTGGACCACTTCAGAACCAGTTCTGGTGTTGTTTACATGCACAGATAAGACATCATCATCATCAGTTATTCTGGAATACATTTAGTACTAATATTTACTGTGGTTATTTCAGATGGCCTGGCTGCTCATTCTATTTCCCGTGAAGACCTGACTCCAGAGGAAATGGGGGGCAAGCACAGCTTCTCCTATCACCCCCTCAGCTGGACCAACACGTTCCCTCCTTTCTCTAGACAACAGGAGAGAGTATTTTACTCAACAAGGCTTCTAACTAGCCTTGCTTGGCTATAGCAGGAGTAAGCCAGAGCTAATGGAGTTAAAAGAATTCAAGGAAGCAGAGTCAATGATAACATGGGTCATTTGCCTGCAGCAAATTCTGCTGGGCAAATGGGAAAACAAGGCCACCTGTACCACACAGAGGTCCTCTCCAGGCCCCCTCCTGGCTCTAGAGTCCTGCTCACTATGCCCAGCTTAGCAGGCCAGACACGAGGCCTG